AATCATCCTCTTTCCTCAGCTACTCCCGTCATTGCTCAATGGGCTCATGAACAAAGTGGCCATGGTGGCAGGGATGGAGGTTATGCATGGGCCCAGCAGCATGGACTTCCACTCACCAAGGCTGACATGGCCACAGCCTCTGCTGAGTGCCTAATCTGCCAGTAGCAGAGACCAATACTGAGTCCTCGATATGGCACTATCCCTCGAGGTGATCAGCCAGCAACCTGATGGCAAGTTGATTACACTGGACCACTTCCACCATGGAAAGGGCAGCGTTTTGTCCTTATTGGAATAGACACTTACTCTGGATATGGATTTGCCTTCCCTGCACGCAATGCTTCTGCCAAACTACCATCCATGGACTTACACAATGCCTTATTCACCATCAAGGTATCCCACACAGCACTGCCTCAGATCAAGGGACTCACTTCACAGCAAATAAAGTGCAGCAGTGAGCCCATGCTCATGGAATTCACTGGTCTTACCATGTTCCCCATCATCCTGAAGCAGGTGGCTTGACAGAACGATGGAATGGCCTTCTAAAGACACAATTACGGCGCCAGCTAGGTGGCAATACTTTGCAGGGTTGGGGCAATGTTCTCCAGGAGGCTGTATATGCTTTAAACCAGCGTCCAATATATGGTGCTGTTTCCCCCATAGCCAGGATTCACGGATCCAGGAATCAAGGGGTGGAAATGGGAGTGGCACCACTCACTATTACCCCTAGTGATCCACTTGCAAGATTTTTGCTTCCTGTCCCCTCGACCTTATGCTCTGCAGGCCTAGAGGTCTTAGTTCCAAAGGGAGGAATGCTCCCACCTGGGGACACATCACTGTTTCCATTGAACTGGAAGTGAAGAGTGCCACCTGGCCACTTTGGGCTCCTTATGCCTCTGGATCAACAGGCAAAGAAGGGAGTTACCATACTGGCTGGTGTGACTGATCCTGATTACCAAGAGAAAATCAAACTGATATTACATAATGGAGGTAAAAAAGAGTATGTCTGGAATGCATGAGATTCCTTGGGGCGTCCCTTAGTACTACCATGCCCTGTGATTAAAGTCAATGGAAAACTAGAGCAACCTAATTCTGACATGACTGCTAATGACCCAGACCCTTCAGGGATGAAGGTTTGGGTCACCCCACCAGGCAAAGAACCACGACCAGCTGAGGTGCTTGCTGAGGGCAAAGGGAATACAGAACGGGTGGTGGAAGAAGGTAGTTCTAAATACCAGTTACAGCCACATGACCAGCTGCAGAAACAGGGACTGTAATCGTTATGAGTATTTCTACTTTGTATGTGTGTATCAAATATTTTTGTTTCCTTCACTTATAAAATATAAGCTGTAAACGGGATTAGCACATTTTCGATTGCACACGTGTTAGCTGTATCATGTCAGGCGCAAGTATGACTTTCTAATTGTCTTTATTCAGCGATTACGTATGGTTTAAGATGTGTATGTGTGCCAAGTTGAGAAGCAGTGGACTGTGATGGTTAAGATTGTGTGTCAACTTGGCTGGGAAATGATCAGTGTTTTAATGTAATCACTCCCATGATTGAATATACTGTGAGTAGCCAATCCGATGAAAGGGAGTCTCCTTGGAGGTGTGGCCCGCATCTGTATATAAGCAGACGTTCTGGCTTTTTGCTCTCTCTGGATCCTGCGGCTGCTTCCTGTCGTCTCATCTCCCGTTCTTGGGACTTGAGCTGTCAGCTTATCTGCCGAACCCGGGATTCGTCGATCTGCGCAGCCTGTGAGCTCTCCAACCTGCCGATCTTGGGCTTGCCAGCTTCTGCAGCTGTGCGACTTGGGAAAGGCCTCTACCCTGATCCACGGAGTTGGGACATTCTAGCCTCTACAATCACGTGAGCTGTTTCCTTGAAATAATCTCTCTCTATGTATATATATTTATACACTTTACTGGTTTTGCTTCTCTAGAGAACCCAGCCTAAGACAGGTGAGTAGTGTCTGGGGTCTTAAAATCCTGTGAGCAGCCATCTAAGATTTACCCCTGGTCTCACCCCTTCAAGAGTAAGGGAAAATGAAGAAAAGTAAAGACACAAGAGAAAGATTAGTCCAAAGGACTAATAGACCACAACTACTACAGCCTCCACCAGACTGAGTCCAGTACAACTAGATGGTTCCTGGCTACCACCACTGACTGCTCTGACAGGGATCACAATAGAGGGTCCAGTACAGAGCTGGAGAAAAATGTAGAACAAAATTTTAACTCACAAAAAAAGACGACTTACTGGCCTGACAGAGGCTGGAGAACCGAGAGTATGGCCCCCAGACACTCTCTTAGCCCAGTAATGAAGTCAGTCTGGAGGCTCACCTTTTAGCCGAAGATCAGACAGACCCATAGGAGAAAATGAGAATAAAGGGGCACACCAGCCCAGGGGCAAGGACTAGAAGGCAGGAGGGAACAGGAAAGCTGATAACAGGGAACCCAAGGTCAAGAAGGGAGAGTACTGACATGTCATGGGGTTGTTAACCATATATTGTTAAAACAATATATGTACTAACTGTTTAATGAGAAGCTAGTTTGTTCTGTAAACCTTCATCTAAAGTTCAGTTAAAACACACACACACACACACACACACACACACACACACACACACACACACAATACCAGAGGAAACATCTAAAGAAGTTGGTGAAACGGGACAGGGAGATCACCACTGTTTTTTCCTTGTAAGTCTTTTCAGCGTTATGTCTATGTGTATACTGTATATCATTTTGATAAATTATTTTTTTTACAGTAAAAGATATTACCAACTTTGAAGGTTAGGAAGATATTTGCAGTGTAAAAAAGATATTTTTGTTTGTTTAAATATGATAGTTAATCCCTCTCTGTGCCCCCTTAGTATTCTGGCTTATCAGATACGCCATATCTATTACAATGTATTATGATTATAATGTATTATATAGTTACTGTTTTACATGTTTGTCTTCTCACTAGATCATGAACTTACATATGTCTTATTCATCTCTATATCTCAATACAAAGCATATAGCAGGAAATCAATAAATATCTATTACACAAGTAACAAAAATCTTAAGACCCTATAAAATAAAATCACATGACTAAAGATCTGAGAGAGGCCTTAAGAAAATATCTAGTCAAACTCTTTTTTTCAGAGAAGGAAATCAAGTTTCAGAAACACTTAGTGACTTATGCAAGTTAACCAATTAATTAACAGCTAAAGGAGTATAAAAACTTGAACATTCTGGCATTTGGTTCATTGCTTTTCACACTGTAACATAAATTTTCCACTGATTTGAAATAGTTCAAATTCTATCACTTTCTCATATCCAAACTTTTGACTCATACTGAAACTATGCCAGGAACTGCTCAAAATATATATTCTAAAATTCAGATTTTTGTGATTTGTAAAGACAGTCATAATATTCTAACATAAAATTTACGAAGTTAACCTATCTTGCTGGAATTAAAATTAATGACATAAAAAGAAGCAAAGTATGGAGCATTTAAACAAAATAATTCAATTATTTCTAACTATACAAATGGAACCAACTAACTTTGTGATCTAAAACATGTCACTTAAGTCTCTGGGCCTCTCACTGCATACATATAGGCAAATCTTTAAATATGCAATTAAAAGATGCCAAAATATTAATTACAAATTATGCTCACCTAAAAAGATTATTAGGCTGCTAAAATATCCTAATCAGAGGATGTATCTTTAATCTTTTCCCTCTAAAAATCTATCCAACGTCCTTCAATTAGCTGTCTTTTTCATATCAGAAAAAAAGTCACACCAAATACAGCTAACGCACTTCACATATTACTATATCATTTCACCTACCAATCTTGTTATGAAAACATTAACCATTCAAATCAGATTAAGAAACACTCAGTTAAGATTGCATATTCATACATATTTTATAAACTTTTCCTCCACTTAACACTAAGCAAAATAAAAATACAGTAAGTTACTTTTATTTAATTACAGTATGCATTTATGTCACAAAAGAATATGCCATTTTCTATCTACTGTTAGTTTATTCATTCAACAAATATTTATTATGAAAATGTTCCAGGTATTACTTTAGGCACTGGGAGTAAAACAGAGTCAAAGTTTCTGCCCTTATGGAGCTTGTATTAACTTTACAATCAAAACTACAAATATATTTTCATTATGAAATAAAATCATGAAATTCATAGTATGAATGGCTGCCTACTTACTTGACTGCAACCTCCTTAAAAGCAAGGACTGTGTTTTTCAACATTGTATGTCCAGGCCCTCCTAAGCACTTAAATATTTGTTGAATGATCTCCGAGTTACAGAATTACTTTTCCTAACAAGAGAAAATTTCATCTAAAAAAGAGTAATAAACCTTGTTACATACCACTGATGTTGAGGTCATAATCTCCCGCCGTAATCACATTAGCTACTAATCCTTCTGCAGGTTGACTGCCAGAAACAACATCATTCAAAAGTTTACGAATGGCTCCAGGCTGAGGTGGTTGGGTGACAATGTTGCTTACTGCTATCTTCAAATTTTTAATTATGTGAAGCTGATTATTAGGATCTCTCATGTGAACTTTAAGGAAAAAAAAAAACACTTGAAATTAATTCTATACAATGCATAACAATCCAACTATAACAACAATAGCAACAAAAAAAATTGGGCTAATGGATTACAAACAAAAAAGATGCTCAAATCAGAAACAGGAAATTCAAAGTGGACTATTCTTCTAGAAATACATCCAATGTACTACGTTCCCTTTTATAACAAAAGGGCTACCTAGATAGCCTATTAAACAGGATTTGCTGCTTCTCCCGCAATGCTACTGCTCAGAATTTCCTACAGTAGGTCCTTTCCTTCCTCATGTTTAGAGCCGCCTGGGATCAACCACTATCCATACCAAACCTCTAATTCTCACCTCACTTTAAGGCTGGTACAGGCTAGTGTGAGGTCTGTGGTATCAGCACCAAAGATGGTAATGGGAAAGAAAGGGGAATTAAATGCTGCATGCCAGCTTCCTTCTGTTCCCAGATTCCTTTTCCCACCCTAAATATCCCGTCTCTAGCCTGCTAGGAGCCTTGGTGGTGCAGTGGTTGAGTGTTCAGCTACTAACCGAAAGGTCAGTGGTTCAAATCCACCAGCTACTCCGCAGTAGAAAGATGTGGCAGTCTAATTCTATAAAGATTAAGCCTTGGAAACTCTATGGGGCAGTTCTACTGTCCTACAAGGGTTGCTATGAGTGGGAATCAACTAAACAGATGGCAACAGGTTTGGTTTTTCAGCCTGCTATAGTCTTTGCCTCAGTCTATGAGATTTATAACCAGTGGTTCAAAACTTCAGGCCAGGGAATAGGTTCTCAGGCAATTGCAACAACAGTGCCCACAGTCCACAATAAGAAATTTGAGCACATTTTCTCATTTAATCAGATAAGATGATTAGTTTTTATAGTAGTATTAGAAGTGGTCCATTACAATGATTAAAGACCCAGCTTTTGGAGTCAGACCTTAATTTAAATCTCAACCCACCACTTATTAACTGGGTTATACTGAACAACTTTTTAACTTTTCTGCACTTCAATTTCTTGTGAATCCTATTTCACGGAGTTATTTTAAGGATTAGATGAGATTAAGTGTAAAGCATTGAGCACCATGCCTGACATACATAACTATATAATTAAGCGCTCAATAAGTGATGGAGTCAGCAGCTGGTACAACAATCTATTTCAAGTACGTCATGGATCATCATACATAAATAAGAGGCAACTTTGGAAAACTGGTTTTAGGTACTTAACCATCAAAAGTAACAGTTTTTTTTAACCAATGGATAATGCTTTATATCAAACAGTGAGCTTTCAAGTTCAGGTCTGCTTATATTTTAAATAATGTTACATCCATAAAGACTGTCTTTCAAATTTTCGTCTGTGTTCTCTCTGTTGATTTCTAAAATTTAAATTAAAAAACATAAGACTCAAAAATACTTTTAAAGTACTATATACAGTATGGATATGTGCATTCGTATTGTAAATATAAAGAGGAGCCCTGGTGGTGCAGTGGTTAAGTGCTCAGCTGCTAACCAAAAGATTGGTGGTTCAAACCCAGCAGCTTCTTCGCAGGAGAAAGATGTGGCAGCCTGCTTCCATAAAGATTACAGCCTTAGAAACTCTATGGGACAGTTCTACTCTGTCCTATAGGGTCACTGTGAGTCGGAATCAACTCAACCTCAATGGGATTATAAATATTATGTACAAAAAGTATACACGCAAATTTCATTACAATGGTTGCCTATGATGAAGGGAGCCCTGGTAGCACAGTGGTTAACAGTTCAGGCTGCTAATCAAAAGGCTGGCAGTTCAAATCCACCAGCCACTCCTTGGAAACCCTATGGGGGCAGTTCTACTCTGTCCCATAGGGTCACTATGAATCGGAATCGACTCAATGGCAATCAGTTCTGGTTTTTTTAATGATGAAAGGAGGAAGGAAATGGAACTAAGGAAGTACAGAAAGGGGACTTTAACCATATATCATGTTTCACTTCTATTAAAAGAAAAGGAAAAGATACAAAACAAATATGATAGAGGGTTAATGTTTGTTAGCTCTGGGTGGTAGGGGGCTGGATTCTCTGGATTCTTCTATAATTGTTTTTTGATTTAAAGACACACACATAGGCCTGTTTCCCTAATTAACTTCCCCCAATGATCCCTATTTTATAGTATTCAACACCCACTGAGGGCAACTAACAATAATAACATTCTTGTGTAGTCCCCTCCCACATTATCCTAGGGTGTGTTTGACCAGTAAACACAACAAAAGTGATGCTATGTCACTTTTGAGATAAGGTTATAAAAGACCGCAGTTTCCATCCTCTCTGATTACTCACTCTGAGCGAAGCTAACTGCCATGCATGGGGACACTCAGTGAGCCTGTGGAGAGGCCCACGTGGCACAGAATTGAAGGGTCAGGCCAACAGTTAATAAGCAACTGACGCTTGCCAGTAATCACATGAGCGAGCTTGGAAGGGGATCCTCCAGTCCCAGATGATTGTAACCCCAGCTGACAGCTTGACTGCAGCCTCATGAGAGACCCTGAGCAGAACCATCTAGCTAAGCCACTCCCAGATTCCTGAGAAACAAGGAGATAATAAATGCTTTTCTGCTAAATGTTGGGATAATCTGTAACACAACAATAGATAATAAACTGGGGTATCACAAAACCAACCTAATATAAAGGAAGGCAAGAACTAAGAATGACTAAGAGAAATGCTTTTAAATTACACACAAAAAATTACAACAGCACAAAAGGTGAATTTATTTATCATTTAACATCTTAATTTCAAAATAAAATAAAACTCAGCTCTACCATTGCCTTCCTTCTGTAGGTTACCATATAATTTCTTGAATACTATACAGTAAAAGCTACAAAAGCCAGAACCTGTGTAAGGTGGAAACCTGTCAGAGATGGAAAACTCAAATATTTTCCACTAAAATGAGTGAGAGAAAAGTGGTAAGACTGCACCCTGTCAAAAAGAGAAAACTTGCGAGACCTGGAAAAACAAGGCAGTCCCATCAAGTTGATTCTCACAGGTTTCACTGTATTATGAAGTAACGTTTCCCAGTATGTGTGCCGTGGAATACTGGTTTCTCAAGATAGTTAAAAGTTGTTTCTAACAATCAGTTCCATATTTGGAAAATATTAGATTAAGTTCTCTAAAGGTCTCCTTAGAGTAGGTCTTAACAGAGCCTTTACATGCTAAACAACATTATAATTCTGTAAAAAGCATGCTATGGTAAGTAAACTTATTTGACCACAAAATTCTTTTTCAGGGAGCATCTAACATAACAGACTACAGCCTTCACTATGGATTACACCTCAACATAAAGAAAACAAAAATCTTCACAACTGGGCCAATGAACAACATCATGACAAACAGAGAAAATAATGAAGTTGTCAAGGATTTCATTTTACTTGAATCCATAATCAATGCCTATGGCAGCAACAGTCAAGAAATCAAACAACGTATCACATTGGGCAAATCTGCTACAAAAGACCTCTTTAAAATGTTAAAAAGGAAACATGCCACTTTGAGGACTAAGGTGTGCCTGACCCAAGCCATGGTATTTCCAATCACCTCATATGCTTGTGAAAGCTGGACAATGAATGAGGGAGAGCAAAGAAGAACTGATGCCTTTGAATTACAGTGTTGGTGAAGAATACTGAATATACCACGGACTTCCAGAAGAAAGAACAAATCTGTCTTGGAAGTGCAGCCAGAATGCTCCTTAGAAGCAAGAATGGCAAGACTTCACTGGACGTACTCTGGACATGTTATCAGCAGAGACCAGTCCCTGCAGGAGATCATGCCTGGTGGAGTGGAGGGTCAGCGAAAAAGAGGAAGACCCTCAACGAGATGGATTGACACAGTGGCTGCAACAATGGGTTCAAACATAGCAATGATTGTGAGGATGGTGGAGGACCGGACAGTGTTCTCATTCTGTTGTGCATAGGGGTTACTATGAGTCGGAACCGATTCAACGGCACCTAACAACATCTAACACACTCTATGGAACACATTTTTTTTAAGTAAAATAAAAATTATATATTTTATGTTTCCATCAAGCATATAAAACTTTACCATATAAAGAAAAGTTCAATTACTGAGAAAGATCATTAACTTGCAAGAAAATGAGACAGACTATATACATACATATATATATAAATTTTGAAAAGTTGACTTGAATTTCATTCAAAGTTTGGTACCTAAAAACCTTGGAAATTAATTACACCAACACTGGTAGTTAAAATTGATGGAATATTTCTAACTAAAAAAAATTTCAGTAAACTACGGGCATTAAGTATCCTTCAATGGTATTTTGTATATAATTTGCCACTTTTCCTAGCTCATTCAAGGTTTACATAAAAATTGTATTCTATTCTTATCTTTTCAATCCCTTAAATAGATTTAATCAATTTGAAAATAACATGTACTTTTCAAAAATGAAAGCCAATTCCTACAAAAGTTAGTGGTTTGGTAAATTTACCTAAAACTTAATAAAATGTCTATGTGAGCTACTGAAACACAGTTTAGAATTAACAAAGCACTATTCCCAAGACAGCAAAAACAATAAGGCTTGATTAATTAATACAAACATTGCCACTCTTTGAAACAGAAGGCTAGCGGAAGTTCTTTAAGACGTATTTGTTGTTGTTAGCTGTCATCAAGTCAATTCCAACTCATGGTGATCGCATGTGCTAAAGAATGTGACTGCTCCATATGGTTTTCTTGGCTGTAATTTTAATGGAAGCTGATTGACAGGCCTTTTCTTCCACGGTACCACTGGACAGATTCAAACTGCCAACCTTTAGGTTAGCAGTTGATCACAAACTGTTTGCACCACCCAGGGACCTCTAAGAAGTATGAGGATCACAAAATTTATGATGAACAATTAACACAATTCAAGTCTCCAACACACATCAAATCATGACAGCTCAGAACTGTATATATACACCCATTCCTCACTTATCAACATGGTTAGGTTCCAAAGACCAGGCTGTTACACATAAATTGGCATTATGCAAAAAATGGACAATGACCACATCAGATTACAAAATAGAAGATGACTACATCATTACATAACTGTCAAACCACCAAGAATCATGGCCCAGCCAAGGTGACACATAACCTTAACCATCACAGCCAGCGTTACTCTCACCTCACACCTCGGTGTTCGTTACTGCCAGACACGTCATTAATGTGCAAAATAGCAGGATACTAGATTTTTTACTAGTGTCATAAACGTGAAATGTCAGATAATGAAATAATCAACAACTGAGGGGCAGGGGTGTGTGTGTACACATATATACACACACATATATATACATACACACATACATATTTATATACGGAGCCCTAGTGGCGCAGTGGTTAAGAGCTATGGCTGCTAACCAAAAGGCTGGCAGTTTGAATCCAGTAGCCGCTCCTTGGAAACCCTATGGGGCAGTTCTACTTTGTCCTCTATAGGGTTGCTATGAGTCAGAATTGACTCATCGGCAATGGGTTTTTTTTTTTTTTGTGTGTGTGTGTGTGTGTGTGTATATACATACACATATATATACATATATATATACATGTATATAATAACCATGATTTGATATAATGTACTCTCCAATTTTTAAAAACGTGTCTAAGGAACCTGCAATGGTTCTCCATTGCCTAATACCTAATACATGAAGTCTGGATTATTTTCAAAGCCCTACACATGAACGGTACTCCAATTTGTTCTATCAATCCTCTCTTCAGAACAGCTTTAAACCATGTTTTTTTCCTACTGAAACCTAAAAATAAATCTCCTGAAAATGTCTGGTAGTTTACACCGTTATCTAAGTAGTCAAAGCAAGTTTTGACCCCAAATAACAGCATACCTACAGGCCAGAAATGGAGTCCAGTCATCTTTCTAAACATTCTTTTCTCCTTCAAAGGAAATTTTAGTGTGTTTTAGTCAGTCATATTCTCAGCTATATTGCCTAAAGAAAAGCTACCTTTGAGGAATCCCTATGCTTGAAATAAAAAAATCAGCCTTTTCTGGATGGTAAAAAGCTGCAAAATTTATTTATCAGCAAAAAATTAAACCACAGAAAAATTAAATCCTTTGGCCAAGTTTCTCATGCCTAGCCCATGCCTAATCATCTCGACCTTTTAAATTTACAACATCAACTCCTATCTACCCTTATAAACCACACAACTCAATCTCCCAAAACGTCATATCCTTGCTCAAGAATCCATGACTACCATCCATTTACCATCAGATATAAAATTCAATCCCATTCGTAGAATTCACAGTCCTCCCTTATCTAGCCATCCTTCTCACTATCCTGTCCTTCAATAGGAAGTTTTCCTCACTATTCACCAACCACTGAATCATACTTTATAGCTTTTGCCCATACCATTCTAGCCTTACACTCCTCAACAGAGAATGCTTGCCCTCCTCTGTTCTACCAACTTTCTGCCTCCCACTAAAGTCCAGCTCAATTTTACTGCTTCCCTAAATCTCTCCCATTCTACAGAGGACAAGCAGAAGTATACTGATATTAAGCCTCTATGGCTGCACTGTCCGATATGGTAGCACCAGCCACAGGTGGACAGAGCCTTGAAATGTATGTAGTCCAAACTGAGATGTAAGTGCAAAATGCACACCATATTGCAAAGATTTAGCAATAAACAAAAAATAGTAAAATATCTCACTAATGTTTTTTATATCAATTATATGTTGAAATGTTAACATTTGGAAATATTGGGTTAAATACATTATTAGAATTAATTTCACTTGTTTCTTTTCACGTTCTAGTGTGGCTATTAGAAATGTTAAAATTAATATGTGACTCATTATATTTCTATTGGACAGAGCTGCTCTATAGCATAAATAAGAAAAAATTCTAAATATTGACAGGAAATGAAAGCAAATAATGATTAAGAACACCGTATAGAGTCACAGTGCCTGTTTTTAAATCTTTCCCAGATCTAAGACTTTGGACAACATCTCCATGCCTCAATGTCCTCAAATTTAAAGTGGTGATAATAAACAGTATCTACCTCACTGACTTCAGTAAGGACTAAACAAAAAAAAAAACACATAAAGCAGGTATCCGGGATTAGCATTAATCTTCTTTATTAACAAAGACGGAAAAAGTAAGCACACTAAAGTCAAACTGGCTCTCCAGTGTTGTTGAGATTTAAGAATTTAGGGCATTTTGTTGTTCTTGTTGACAGTACAACACTGGAGGAGATGAAATGGATGGTTCAGTTGTAGGCTGAAAAAAATCCAAGAGTTCCCGAACAGTCTTTTTGGACAGCTCTGTCTCTCCTTTAAATACAAAAAGCAAACTCATAATGGGGTCTCTATGAGTTCAAATCAACTTGACGGAAACGGGTTTGGTATTCTCCCAAAGGAGCCCTGGTGGCACAGTGGTTAAGAGCTAAGGCTGCTAACCAAAAGGTTGGCAGCTGGAATCCACCAGCCACTCCTTAGAAACCCTATGGGGCAGTTCTACTCTGTCTTACAGGGTCCTAAGAGTCGGAATCATGGGTTTGGTTCAGTTTTTTTTTATTCTCCCACAGAGCACCTGTAGCATGCAAATACATGAATGTATTCTACAGCATTGTTTTTTGTGGAGAAAGCATCATAACCAAATAATCATTATAGTCATTTTTGCCTTGACACAGCTTCATTAAAGAACTCTACACTTTACACATCCGTTAAGAGTCAAAGAAGTTTACTTGCACTTTGCTGTACTTTATTTACACCATACTTGAAGTTTGGAACTCTACCTTCCATCTTAAGTTCATTTTTCCTTAAAAAAGTATTTAAAGCTGGAGAAAACAGGTAACTCCTGAATAAAAGAAACACTTCTCCCACTAAAAAAAGGTGAACTTTTATCTGAAAAAACCAAACGTTAGGACTTTCCTGTAAGTCTAAATAACGCCAATACCTAAGTTAAATTAACTACAACTTGTACTACTTTCTCATCTATGAGTCACTATCTATGAGCTACAAAAGGCTGTAAGTTTGATTATTTATATAATACTTTTTTTTTGAGAGGTTAAGCAAGGTATGTATACCTAACAAAGTGTTTAAATTTTCCAAAAAGTAAAATAACTAAACAGAAGTTTAAAGAGATGAGCCTCATTGCTAGAAAACTGTAATACTCAAGACAACTTTGAAAGTGTGCTTTAACACCGAGGAGAAGATGACACGTTTTCTTTACTAAGACCCCGTCGGTCTAAGAGGCAGCATCTTCCTACTTTACCTGCCTTGCAATTTACTAATTTCCTCCCCACGGCCGTTGAGAATAGATAGTTCCAAGGCCTTTCTCTGGGACTCACGTTCTTCTTTCCACTAAATTAGCTAACAGCCCCCGGCTGGTCGGGAAAGAAGGAAGTGTCTAGAGAAGCTAAAAGTTAGAACCGCGCTGTTTTGACAACCTCACCCACCGCCCCTCCTCCAGCCACCACCAGAGACACTGGGGGCCCCAACTCTAGACGCCACTCTACCGGTTCCGGGATGTAAACATCACCCTCCTCTTTCCTGTTCGCTCCCAACTTCCTTTTCCCGATGACGGCTTTACCCGGCCCCAGCCAGAAAGAGAGGACACCACATACCCTCGGAAGTGAGGCGAGAGAAGGGCTTAAGCAGCTCTGCGAAGGTGAGGTGATTGCGACGAGTGAGACGCTCAGCTTCGTCGCTGCATAACGCGGCGACACAGGGAACGAATGAGTCCGGGATTAGCTCCTGCACTGACTGTACACACTGGGCCATCGCCGCGGCAGTAGCAGTGGCGGCGGCCGCCCTCCGGCCCACCCTCAGAGGCTGATCCTGCGGCTGCAGCAGTACCGCCGCCGCCCGCCGGCCTGGCCCGGCCGGGCGGGGCTCCGCACTGTAGCCCCGAGACGAGTAGAAGGAATAGACGCCGCTGCCTCAGCTCCGGGAGTACACACCACCAACCGCCCTGTCACCGTCGCTCCTCAGCGCTCGCCCCGGCGCCCTCGCATTCCACCTCAATAGGTGGAGACGCCGACAATCGCCACTTAATCCTCCAGATGGCAGAACCTTCGTCTTTGCCTGACCCGAACAGCCATATTGAGGCCGAACCCTGACCGACCGGCAGTATTACTCCCGGCAACCCCCGCGCTCGCCCCTCACGTGACAGTGTTAAAGGAGGCTGCAGGCGAGGCGGGGGAGAAAGAACTGAGAAGAGGAAGATGGAGAGCGACGGAGGCCGATTGGGAAGCTGGATCCGGAAGTGGTCTGACGGGGGGAGGGGGGAGGGGACAGCAAAAGGGTGGGGCTGGGGCGGGGCTACGAGCTCGGTGGGCGGGGCCAGGCTGGGGACGCTGAACAATTTAGGCAGAGCTCTCGTGCTTCTTGGCAAAGCTCAGCGAGTAGAGCCGGCGAGCGATCCGTCAGGTGGGCAAGGCCTGGATATCCGTGCTGTGACAGTGGTGTAGGCGCCCGCTCGCCTTCCGCGCCGACCTGGCCTGTTTGGAACTCTAAATGTTCCTTCTGGCTGCAGTGGGCAACTGATGTAGCTGTTCGCTTTGCTTTCTACCGGCTCGCCAGTTCCTTGCCACGCTTGCCAGTGGAGTGGCAAGGGACTGATATCTGCTCACGGAGAGGGTATGCCGCGTGGCGGGTGCTTTGGGGTTTCACTGAAGCTAGTCTGAATAAGCCATGTATTGTTTGAACAGAATCGTGCTTTTAGAAACAGACTTATTTGAGGTCAGCAAGTGAGCAGAAATGTGTGCTAGGATTAACTCGAGTGTCAGGGAAAACTCCTGCGCTGCTGTAGCAGAAGAAAAAGTGTCCCTGCAAAGGTGCGCGTTGTTGGTACGCAGCCGGTTCTTGTTTACACTTGGCTGGGATGTGTGTTCAGAGTAATGGAGATAATTCATAGTAATTAACTAGGTACTGTATAAAGTCCTGAACTGGCTTCTGTTCCTAGTTTTCATTTTTGTAGACTGTTCCTATAAATAAGTAAAAATGAATGAAAAGAATTTTACTATAGCGTCACTCAATTGTTTGAATTCCTTCTGAATTATATGTCAAAAATATAACACAAGGGAAATTACAAGCATTTATCATGGTTTTACGGTGCCTTGATTAAAGGAAGCTTCCCCAATATCAGTCTCTCAAATTGTCCCATCCTTTGGCACTGAGGTTTATACCACGGTAAGAATTTATGACAGGTGAGAGGTATGCTTTTCTTCTGAAAATTGTGGAATGAGAGGTGGAAAAAAAATAACAGGGAATGATGACGTGAGCCTTGACCACGGATCAATTTAGAAAAGATAACATTGGCAAGTTGAGATCTGGAAATTCATTTCCTTAAAACTATCTATTCCTGAAGGCAGCAGCTCAAAGACAGACACATGTACAATGTTCATTGCAGCATTATTCACCATAGCCGAAAGGTGGGAACAACCCAAGTGTCCATCAACAGATGAATGGATAAACAAAGTGTGGTATATATAATACATACAATGAACTATTATTCAGCTATAAAGAGAAATGAAGTTCTCATTTATATCGGACAAACCTTAAAATATTATCCTAAGTGAATGAAGCCAGACAAAAAAAGGCCACAAATTGTATGACCTAACTTCTGTATCTAGAATAGGTAAATCCATTGAGACAAAAGATTAGTGGTCAACAGGGGATAAGGGAAGTAGTTAAAAAGGGGGAGAAGCCGGTAATTGGCTAAAAAGGATTAGAGGAGTGTTAAAGAATCATTGGCATGACAGTGATACTTTCACTTTGGTGTAATTTCTAAACCTTCTAAATTTGAAAGAGAACAGAAAAGGAAGTAATTTTCTCATTATGTAATATAATCTAAGTCCATATATACCTTTTAATTGCATTGTGTGTCACCTACAATACAAAATACACTTACCATTGAATAAAAACCAAAAACTGTGCCTGAATACCTCTTGGAAAGTCAAAAGGTACACATGTTCCCTTTTGAATACCTCCCATCTCAATTCCTTGCCCTTTATAGTGTGAGAATCTCATACAACAAAGTATGATTCATATTATAAGATACATTTTTTGTAATAGAGCTCCTAAATGCAAAGCATACTACTTTATCTACTCAACTAATAATAAAAATTAAAAAGTCATTTTATTTTTATGCTGAAACTAAAATTAGTTGTATTAGACTCTTTGAGAAGATTGTCAAGGGTAATTTAGCGTAAATGGATTTTTTGAGATATAATTCACATACCATAAAATTCACCCCTTCACAGTGAACAATTCAGTGGTTTTTGGTATAGTCACAAAGTTGTGCAACCATTACTACTGTCTAATTCCAGAACATTTTCATCATCCCAAAAAGAAACCTAGTGCTCATTAGCAGTCACTCTCCACCTCCCTCACACCCCTACCAGCCCCTGGCAATCACCAATCTACTTTCTGTCTGTAGATTTGCCTAATCTGGACATTTCATAACAATGGAATCATGCAATATGTGGTCTTTTGAACTTGACTTCTTTCACTTGGCATGATGTTCTCAAGGTTCGTCCATGTTGTAGCTAGAATCAGTACTTCATTCTTTTACAGCTGAGTCTAAATGGGTTTTTGTCTTATGCATTGATTTTATAATCTAATACCACATCCACATACGGGGTTTCCACTGAGTAACTTCACTATAAAAATCTATTTCTTTCCTAGCCTATCTTGGAACTTTTTCAACTGTCCAGACCCCTTGAAGGAGATGATATTTACTAGTGGCCATAGTAGTAGACCTGTTAGTCAGGATTTTTTCAACTCTAAAACAAAATAAAAATTAAATTTGTACTAGCTTAAGCAAAAAAGGGAAGTTAATGGTTCATGTAAGGGCAGGGGAGAGTGGGATAAACTCACAGGAAAAAGGAAAGAATAAGAGTTTCAGGGACTAGAACCCAGGGTTCGGCACGGCCAGGACGCTTTTTATCTGTCTGTCAATTCTAATTCCCTCTGGTTTCATTCTTTGAGGAGCCCATTTCCTCGTGGCAGAATCTGCCTGCAGCTCCAGATTAAGCCTTCTCAGCTAAACAAGTGAAACAGAAACAGAACTTCTTTTTTCCAGCATCAATATATCAATCCCAGGGAATGCCTCTGATTTGCCTCACTGTGTCACATGCCTTTTCCTGAACTAATCAATTTCCTAGTAACACACCGTTTTGACTCTCCTGGAATCCATATTTCTGGGTTCATGAACTTGGGGTAACCCACTCATGCCCTCTGCACTTAGGGGTCCTTTTGAACCTTAAGCCTTTAAGGATCTGTCTTCCTAAAATCACCTTCAAGTCAAACAATAGCCTAGTAAGCAGCTTAGCGGAGACTGTTTGGCCTTAGGCCTTGGGCTCTTTTACAGAATTGTCTATATGCAGCCAGTTTCGAGGAGCAAGAACCCCGGGATCTGACTGGAAAATGTATGGCATGTCCTTAGTGATTCTGTTTCTTTAACTAAGGACCCTGGAATCCTGCATGTGTTCTGATGCTACTTCCTGAGAAATTAACATGACAATGACCTAGACAACCCGTTTTCACTGTCCCCTCTTCAGATGCCTTTCTAGTACATTCAAATCGTTATCTACTCACAATAAATACATTCTGCTACATGAATTTTTGGTTTTTCTCTGTGCATTTAGGTTTTTGACACAGGAGGACAGGCAATATTACTGGCCAGGCATGCGTTATATTTCCACTCCCAGAGGCAGGGAGAAGATTCCTGGGTGGCGCAAACGGTTAATGTGCTCTGCTTTTGTCAGAAAACCTAAATTGCTTAGAGAAACACCAACAATTGGTGTAATAGAATATGTTTATTGTGAGTAGATATGATTCCAACTGAGCAGCATCACCTGAACATATTGGGAAGGCGCTCTGAAGTGGGGACAGTGAAATTGGGTTGTATAGGTCATTTTTTTGTTAACTGATCAAGAGATACCATCAAAGCACTCGGCAGGTTACAGAAACAGTCAACAAGGATACGAACTACATTCTAAAACAGCCTCTAGTCAGACCCTGGAGTCCCTGCCTCTGGAAGCTGGCTGTACATAGATAATTTTCCAAAAGAACCCAGTGCCTAAGGCCAAACAGTCTCCACAAAGCTGCTCACTAAGCTATTTGACCTGAAGTTGACTCTAGGGAACCAGTTCCTTCAAGGTTCAAAAAGACCTATATGGGTCACCCCAATTCCATGAACCCAGAAATCTGGATTCCAGGAGAATCAAAACTATTTTGTCACTGCTAACCAAAAAGTTGGAGGTTTGAGTCCACCCAGAGGCACTTCATAAGAAAGGCCTGGCTATCTACTTCCAAAAAATCAGCCTTGAAACCCCTATGGAGCACTGTTCTACTGTGACACACATGGGGTCGCCATGAGTGAGAGGTGACTTGAGGGCAACTGGTTAGGTAGTGATACAGGACCTATTACTAAAAAAAACGGGATGGGAAAGTTTACTGGCCAGACAAAAACATCACCTATCATACACCACAAACTATCCATTGTCTTCCCAACACACAGACGTAACCTTTTCCCATATATATGATTTCCAAGAATGCCTCTCCCTAATAATTATCCCCTGTAAAACTGAAAATATGCTCATTTTCTACCTAAAGGCTGACAAGCAAAAATCACACCTATTTATGTCTCCCAGCTCCAAACCCAGGGTCTCTGGATGGTATGTAGTCAGGGCTGGATATGGTTCTTCATGATCCTGCTACTAGTGGCCAAATTTTAAATGAGAACAACCTCAGCCTATAATGAAGGAAAATAGGTGATTTAGAAAATAATATTGGAATCATTATTCCCCATCCTTGAGCATAGAAAATGTGACCCAGATGGAGCTGGGCCCACAAGGACTCACAAGGACACATCCACTGGGCCCTGACGTAGAAAAACAATAGCTAAAATAATCTTGGAAAATATCTTTTAGGGAACCTTTCACATAAACCATTCAAATAGAAATCAAAAGCTTTCCACACTTATCTTTTTCTATTAGCATTTAGTGAATAGAAAATTTGTTGGACCAATGAGGACCCTCCTGACTGTCATTACTGAAACCTGCACCAATGATTGTTAGGAAAGACAGTTCAAAATGTAGGATCACAGTTTCTAGCCCACCTGTGAAAAGGTAAAGCTTTCAAAGGTTTTGCCCGTTTGTAATGTTAACATATACTGATGGCTCTGTAATGTTCCTTGGACTCGGACAGACATGGCTCTAGTAGCATGCTTGTCCGTTTTCGCATTCTTGCTTATTCTGTAATCTTGGACTTGG